AGGGTCTTGACGCTATACCAGAGAGATGGAAGACTAGGACCTTGAGATATGAAGAAGTTCTTAACCTGGCCCTCCGACTTCTTCACATCAAAGTTTAGATAACATAGCTTTTTAATTACAATTATTCTGATAAACCTGAAAAACTGAAAAATTATGAAAATATGTATCAGCTGTTTTGAACACGATACAGTCAGTAAATAAAGTTTGCTATGGTAACAAGACTAGCGTACCATAGCATTAATAAGTCATGCTAGCAAAATCCTCTTACGAATTATCATGAAAAGGATTGAAAAAAAATTACAATATGAACTAGATGAAGCACAAGCGGGTTTCAGACAGGGTAGAGGAACTAGGGATCACATATTTAATATGAGAATAATTTTTTGAAAAATGCAGAGAATACAATCTAGATCTTCATGCTTGTTTTATTGATTATAGCAAAGTATTTGATTGTGTCCAGCACCACCAACTGTGGACTATTATGAAAAGTATGGGGTTTCCAGCGCATTTAGTGCATTTAATTGAAAATCACTATCATGAACAACATTCAGCCATCCGAGCAGCTGGTGAAACATCTGATTGGTTCGAGGTGCAAAAGGGGGTGAGGCAGGGGTGCATTCTCTCACCATACCTATTCAATATATACGCAGAAAATATAATGAGAAATGTCAAAAATGACCAGACTTGTGACAGTTATGATCCGCTCAAAATTGGTGGCAACCCTATTTCGGAACTCCGCTACGCAGATGACACAGTCCTCCTTTCGAACAGTGTAAAGGGAATAGAAAATTTAATATTGTCCGTCCAAATGCACAGTGAAGATCAAAATATGTTCTTGAATTTAAAGAAAACGAAAATAATGTCCACAGATAAAATTGACTGTCACCCAAAAATAACAATAAATGATGAAGAAATTGAAAATGTCACAAACTTTGAATATCTAGGCTCTATAATAAACAACAATGGAGACTTCGACAGAAATTAAAAGGAGGATGGCCATAGCAATGCAAAGATTGAACAGCCTTAAAAGTCTATGGTTAAGCACCAGCAGGGAGATAAAAATTAGAATTTTGAGAGCATGCATCTTCCCTGTGGCTACATACGGATGTGAGTCATGGACTATCTCTTAGTCCTTAAGAAAGAGAATAGGGGCTTTTGAGCTGAAATGCTATAGAAAGATTCTCAGAACATCTTGGACAAAGAAGATGAGAAATATTGACATCTTAAAAGATCTGAACATCAAGGAAGATTGGCTAATAAACAGCATCCTTTCTCGAAAGCTGAAATATTTTGGTCATATCAAGCGCCACGACGGATTGGAAAAAAAATATAGCAGAAGGCACAGTACCAGGAAGGAGGGGCAGGGGCCGACCGACACGAAGATGGGCACAGGACATAAGTGACTCCTTGAGTGTGAAAGTTCATGAGGCGGGAGAACTGGCAAGAGACCGAGTTTCTTACAGGCAGACTGTGATGAGAGCAATGTTCTGCAAAGGACCTGCTACATGATGATGATGATGATGGTAACAAGTCTTTATCAGCAAACAATGAGACACAAAACACAATACTAATCGCATTTTGATAATAGCATTAAAAAAAAAAATTTATTATTTATTTTACTTTCTCCTCTTGGCTGTTATCCAATACACATTTATCAGTGAAATCATAAATGGTGGCTTTGGAGAATTTATTTTATGCATACAAAAGCTATACTTTATCACTGCCACTGTGTCGGAACTATATTAGTTTTGTATTTAATACGATCAGATTCAGATATTTATAATTTTGTTACTTTGTTCTTCGATATGGCTATAGCTTAAGCAAAAAATGTTATTCATTTATTTTTCTGCATACTAGCAAAATACCTTTATAAAATATTTGTAGATTTTTATTTTACATTTTTTTCTGTGATTTTTCAAACAGTGTAAGTCTTTTTTAATGTAATTTATCAGCATACTCTTATTCTGTGATTTTAATTTTAATTCATCAAGTTGTGCCAGTAATTGTTTTTTATATGTAAGGCATTTTGTGTAACTGGTGGGGATTTTCTCTTATTATGTTTAGAATATGAAATAAACTATATGGTTTATAATTATAATTGTAACAGTAATAATGTTATTACCATATTTTGTGTATGTGTATGCTGCAATTTTATTATGAACATGAATTATAGGAAGACTTAATGAAGATGTCACTAGAAAGAAATTTTATTAGTGATTTATCTGACTCAAATACATGTCTGTCCTGTCTTGTTTATAATAATATGAATAAAACCATACATAAGATAACTGCAGTAATAAACAAATCATATGGACACAAACAATGTATTGCACAATTTATTGCCAGGCAATAGTTTTTCTGAATCTTGTCAGATGCATTACTACAGAATTACATTAACATGTAATGAAATACACAAAATATGGATTCTTTCCACTGAACTTCACAAATAAATGGTTCTAAACAATTAATTGGAGATCCTGTCAGTAAATCAAGGTAACCTAGAGGAAAGGATCGAACATCTTTGATAGAATGTCATTGGCTTGACCCTGGGCACGTAATTGAAAGTGACTGTGCCTTCTGTGTTATTTACACACATAGAATAGGTTATTACTAAAACTGTCAGAAGCTGTGACAATTAAAATTAACAATCTAATGCAAACAAAAAGAGCATGCAGTAAATGTTAAACGTTTTGGTAATCACTTAACTGTCCTAAACTTCCATTGCAGAGATAGATGTACAGTGAAAAGGATTTGTATGTTGATGTAACTCTTTAACCCCGATGAGTCATAACAAAATACGCTAGGCCATAAAGTGTGCAGTGTATTGTTTTGTCTGCATTAATTAAATTTGCAGTGGAAAAATATTGTTTTGAATCACAAATAGCCAGAATATTCTACATTTAATTGTTGAAACATTTGTGAATTTAAATGCATTACTGATTTAACAGTCAAAGTTATACCACACTAAATGTTGAATTAAGAATCAATGACATAGCACTCAAGAACTCCCATAGGTGCTCCGGTCCTATCTTCAGCAGCAAATGAAAAGTTCCAATTGTGATGGTACTAGTAACTGTCTGATTGTATTTCCATCTCGCTTTTCCCTTGAGCGTTGAGCATCGACCTGAGATTCCCTGGTAACTCCGTGCAGCGCCATTCTCCTCAGACCGTAAGGATCTATTATACCACACTTTGCATACCTAGATATGCTTTCCAACAGAAAATGTCTTAGTCATGTTGCCACGAAAAACCGCAAGTCCAACACTTGTGATTGGGTATAATTCCCTCCTAATGTCACTTTTCCAATTTTTTTTTACAGTGACATATTTACGAGATGCATGTTTAATGCTGTTGGCTTTGTTCGCCCCTGGGCAAACACTTGGGAGTTCGGAAAATGAATATATTAGCTAAATATAGAATTTAGGGGTGTTTTCCTGCGAACCGAACAATTATTTTAAAGCCACGTTGATATTAAATTTTCTTGTCTCAGTGACTGATAAAGGTCACCCAGGACACATTGATTAAGGCCTCAAGAAATTTATTGTATATAATGTTTCACTCTGCATGTGTTTATTGACCACCCTTTATACATCTTTATATATTTCAACATCACACCAAACACACACAATTGAAAACTAAATTTATAATTTTTTTATCTTTTTTTTTTTTTCAATTTATTAGTTAATTGTGTAAAATTCTTCTGTTTAGTTTATTTTTAAGGAATTCCTACTGAGTTATGACCTTTTTTTGTGTGTTTGTTTTTCTTTATTTTTTTAGTGTTTCCTACATAACAAGGTTAAGGCATAGGTGTTAAGCATTTTAGTTGCACTCTCATATACATTATTTCTTGTCAGATCCACACTCAGTCCTAAATTCACTCAACCTCACACTTATTATTTCGTCAGGTAATTGTATACAGACCAGCAAATATTGTTCAAAAAAGGTTTTCACTCAGTTTTTTCATTGCCTGTTATGGTTTCCGTTTGTTGAACTAAGTTCGGCTGGGATTCAATTATATCTGTTTATCAAATATGCTATATGAATGAGTGGTTTGCATTGCTTGATAACACTCCAGACCAGAAACATAGCATGGATTTCTGCCCATGATATGTCGATGTGCAGGGAAATGAGAATGCTGATATATTAACTGCTGTCACTTCTCTGGATGGCATGCTACTTTATGATTAATTGGAAGTGATGGAGGCACTGTGGGATTAAGTGAACAGTGCAACAAAACAGAGTATTCATAACTGGGAAGACTAATTCAGCTGAGAATAAGTAAAGAATCAGGATGATTTTCAACATGCAGAGAAATAGACAGATCAACTTTTAGTCAAGTTTATTAGTATGGGCTCCCAATAACTTAAGCTCTACTGGCAAGTGGTCATCCATATAAGGAATGAATTAACCTCACTGCACCCAGGTTTTTCCCACGTGTTTCCCGTCACCTTCCTCAGCTGTTTGAACACAATGTTGATTATTAATGTACTGTTATTTGTGAAGCACACGAGTTTTGTGTTCAGGAAAATAAACAGATGTTAAATGTGATTATATTTCCTTTGCTTTGGAGTTGTACTTGTAGTTAGTGTGCCTAGTTTTAATGTTACGGCTGATTAGACTTAAAACAGATCATATCCTGTCAGTGCTAGGACACTATAGGTCTTAGTCCCTGCCTAACAAATTTTGTTTCCCTTGTTACAAGAGCAGCTTGGGTGTGGGTTTTGGCTTTCACTCACTATAACACTTATTTGAGGAAGCTCCTCTGTGGGTTCCTGGGCCTTATTATAGGGAAAACAACAATAGACCCACTGCCTTCCCAAAAGCATGTCGTAAAAGTTGACTAATTAAGAGCTTTCTTCGAAGTCGGAGTGCATCTGCCTGAGAGGCAAAGAACAAACAGTCTGTACACAAATGAGTCAGATCTGTCAAATGGATGCACACGCAACACTCGGGTTCTGAAACAGGACTGCAGTCCAGAAGTGGACAAACAACCAGAACTTTCCACCCGAGTTTACAGCCGGTGAACGCGAAGAAGAAGATTTGTTGGAGCTCCTGAGTTGAGCTGAGTCAAAAATTGTCTTTACAGCACTCTGGGCAT